AAAGTTTACAGGGCTTTAACTCATTGGAGCACTACTAGATGAGAAGCTGGTGAAGTGCTTTTTTTTAAGCTATGTTATCCAATTCAGTATTGTCAGTATGAGTAAGTGCTCCAGTTTTTTGCTAAACAAACACTATTGTTTGAATTCCTGCAACAAACCAACTTATCAATACAAGGTGATGAAGTCTAAGCACTCCTTTATAACATGAAGTAGAACAAGATCTTTCCAGTCAGAGGATTAAAAAGAAATCATCAAAACAGGTTCCAGTGAAGGCATCAAAAAATCAAAATTAATGCAAACAGTGCAATTCAGAACAGATTGTCATTTTCCAAACCTAGCTTGCTTGGGTGTCAGTAGCTGCTATTAGGTGTTGTGTTAGACACAGTGGAAACCATGCTTGCATTCCCCATTCCTTATTCCCATCCTCCTGTCACACACACATGCATCCTAAATGGTAGTTCTAGTCATTGCTTCACCACCTCAGCCCTAGAATCAGTCATAACCTATTCTTTCCTGCAATTTTTCTTGGGTTTCAAATGCTCTCACCGTAACTTGGTCTTCCTCCTGCACCTGACTGGGAGGTGTTGGGTCCATGGCTGGTTGGATGCTGTAATTGGGCAGGCTAAGGACATGCAGGCCCAGCCACAAAGAACAGCTGGTAATGTCAGCACAGGCTCTGTATAGGTGCCTGGGAAGAATGGATACTGCTGCAAATTGTTTTGAAGGAGTTTGCAGGCTGGGATTAAAGAAACATTGTAAGAAACAATGATTGACATGTTGGCATGTCTACATGTCATCTACCAAGGAATTTTTTTTTTTTTTTTTCTTGTAAGGCACACATTTCCAAACATCTTTTTTCTTCTTCACTGGCAGCAGTATCCCTGTGAGGAATGTGACTGCATGACTGAGTGTCAAGGCACCATGAATATTGCTAAACACAACTTCATATCCTACCACAAGCACGGCCTGTATCCCAACAAAGCCCTGCTTATCACCTGCTTATTTGTAGAGGATGTACCTTTGCTGATTGATCAGCAATTGAGTCAGATCCATGGGAGTTTTCTCAATATCTTTGATAATGTTAAGTCTGCACCCTTGGCAAAAAACACCAGTGGTATGGTGAATTCGTTAATGAATAAATGTGATTTGATGACCTCATCAAATATCTGGAGGTTCACACCAAGAGGAAAACTGTGACGACCTCAATTCGCAACCTGCCAGAAACACATAATGCCTTTTAATATTTGCTCATATTCCACCTTCCTAATGCATCAGAAGAATGTAATGTAGCCAGTGCTGCTAGATACTCCTTCCTTAAAGGAAGCTGACACGCCATCAAGTTCAGTGGTTTTTCTGTCACAGACCTCAACAGCATCCTGTAAAATCTAAGTAATTTAGTCAAAAGTGCTTTAAACAAAAAATGTTATATGAAATTTAGTAGACTAAACCTCAGAAAAACGAGTGTAATTTTCCATTATTTCAATAAATATTTTAAAGAGACTGACAATGAAATACTGAACTCCCTTAAAAAATAAATTTAAAATTACTCCTAGGTTTAAGTTCCAGTTTTGTGTTGGTGAAGCAGAAGAAAGGGAACTTAGATCACTTTGCAGCCTTTTGTTCTTTTTTTATATAACACTTGAGTCTAAAAGAAGAAAACCAGTCTTTGTGAAACCATATCCTCTTTTTCCACTTGTCTTTGCAAATTCTTTGGGAGGAATACAAATTCTACTGGCCAAATTCACATCTGAGTTTCTCAGACAGAAATGTTTACTCATGTTACCTTCACATGTTACCTTCACAGTGAACAAAACTCTAGCAGAAACAACATTCACAAAATTTTCCCTTACTGACATAATTTTCTTACATACAACGAGGCAACTTGCTAGATGAGGTCTGACATTTAAGTGCTGATTGTAAACTATACCTTTTTTCTACTGTTCCTAGTTTCACTAAGTTTCAGATTATAACAGCATATTGAAAACATAAGCCATAAAATGTAGCAGTGTTAAAAAGCAGGTGCACTGGTGAAGTAAGACCTTCTTTCTCTTAAATGACATGTGAATAATCTGCATTCTTCAAAGAAAAATAAAGTCTTGTTGTCAGGAGAAACTGTCAATGCAAGCACAGATAAGAAAATAAAAATAACTTAATATAAGAATAGTTTAACAGGTAACAGACAAGAAAGAAGTAAATGTACCCTGGGGAATATGCAAATCATACTGACTGAAGTCAGTCATCTGCCTAACTAGCTTATATTTTGAGATCACAAAACTGAACTTAATATCCATTTCCTTATTGTTTTCAGGTTGACTGGTATCATTGGTATTGGGACTGGTATCATTGTATGAATTTGCAATTCCTTTCTCTTAGCTGCTTTACTATATTGTACTATACTAACTAGCAGTACCATGCAGAAACCTCACAGGGCTATTGTACTTTAAGACTCATATTCAACATAATACTGAAATACCAATGATTTTCTTCTCCTGCTGTTTTGCTCAGATCATGCTCCCCTTGCTACTGTGTCAGGAATTAGCAAGTTGCAATGCTCTTCCTTATTTTCCTGTTATAGCCTTCCTCCCTAACTCTCTGCTAAAGCCTTAAACACTTTACTCCATCATTAAAATCAGTCTTTGGTCCATCATTAAAATTGCTTGGCTTGCACTGAGATCTTCAGTATTAGGAAAGGGAGTAAGTTATTTCAAGTGCAGCCAACTAAAGTAATAATTAAACACAACTTCCTGGTACCCAGCAACACTTTACTGCTTTCTGATGTTGTATATTTTGTCTACAAATATCTTAGAATAAAATGCTTAAATTGTGCCACCCAGATTTAAGTTTGCAACGCTCATTTGGCTGCCACCACACTAACATACACAGGTTTTACATCTGTCTTTACAAAGTAGACTTTATTACATGGTTCAGCAGAAAAGAAAGGACAGCTAACACTTACAGCAAAATTCTAGTATTTGAATATAAACTTTAAAGAAACCAAAAGAAAACCCAGAAACCATACTATTTGTTTTTTGGGTAATTTTGTTCAAAAGAAAAAAATAATGAGCAGTGTCATGTGAGCTGATGAAAAGCAGAACCACTTAAGGAACCATGGCACAAAGTTTAATCACCTTTGTTTCCCAATACCAAATGTCTTGCTGACATGTAACTGAAATTTCAGTATTACAAATAGTCTCATTTTGTACTTACACCCATTTTTTAGTATGCACTGCAATGCTCATTCCCAATGTCTTTCTGACCTTCTCCTCTTTTACAAAATCTTGTAATTTTTTTAAATCAATGCCTTAATAACAAAATTTTATAAAGCTGTGCAGTCCCAGGACAGCAAAAACATCTACCACCAGGCAGGGTTCTAGCAGGCACAGCTTTGAAAAACTGATCAGATTTTTCCTCTAAAATAGGATGCATCATACAAGGTAAACTGAGTCACTGAAACAAGAATGCAAAAGATTCATTTTATAATGCATTGGTTCTAAAATTCTAGAAATCAACAGCATGTATATGCTGTTGGAATTTATTGTTGGAATAAATATGGTTATATGTCCAAGGACAAGCTGAATCAATGGATTAAATGAATTATAATTTCTTAACCAGGCTTTCACATGCTTGTTAAAATTGATGACTAAAGAAGATGTGAGCTATTTAGAGTGGAATATCATCAAATATTACCAGTATTAATTACTTTAATCTACACAAGTATAGGAAGAGTCAAGAATAAATACCAAGTTCATTTATAACCATTACCATACAAGCCATAGAAGATGTACAAACAAGATGAAGCCCAGCATATTTTACCATAACAGTACTCAAACTAGTGCTACTCAACCTTATTTTGAGAGCAGAGAACCCCACCTGGGTTTTGGGCGTGTGCACGTATCAGCCTGCATCAGGCCAATCCCTTCTCTGTGCCTCCCCAATGCTGTTACATTTACACCTTCTAACACGGAGAAATGTGTTACCTATTTGCTAAACCTCTGGCCCACAAAAAGCTGGGGAGCGCACAGCACTGTTAAAATTACCTGTAGTTCTGTCTTACACATGGTATGTGCCCCCTCACAGTTCCTAGTGGAGACCAGAGAAGGCCAACATTCATCTTGCTGGTTGATTATAGATGGATGACAGCACACGCACCCTGCACTGTGTTTGTTATTCACACTGGGCTCCTTCAGTGCTCCTGTGTGTCTGAACCAGGCCTGGGGCTGACCTGCTGGGAAGCAGCTCTGCAGAGAAGGACCTGCAGGTCCTGGTGGACAACAAGCTGTCCATGGGCCAGCAGCGTGTCCTTGTGACCAAGAATGCCAATGGTGTCCTGGGGGGCATTAGGAAGAACATTGCCAGCAGGTCATGGAAGGTGATCCTGCCCCTGTACTCAGCCCTGCTGAGGCCTCACCTGGAGTGCTGAGTCCAGTTCTGGGCTCCTCAGGACATGAGAGACATGGAGGTCCTGGAGAGGATCCAAGAGAGAGCAAGAGAGGCAAGTAAAGGACAGTGTTCCTCTTACAAGGAAAGGCTGAGGGAGCTGGACCTCTTCCGACTCAGGAACAAACATCCCCATTGCAGAGAGGACCCCATCGGTGCCTACCAGCGTCTGAAAGAGGGTGCCAAGTGGGTGGAGCCAGGCTCCTCTCAGGAGTGCCAGGCAATGGGACAAGAGGCAACAGGCAGAAACGGATCAAGTTCCACCTGAACGCGAGGAAGAACTTTTACTGTGCAGGTGACTGAGCACTGGAACAGACTGCCCCGAGAGGGTGCGGAGTCTCCCACACGGCAGATATTCTAGAGCCGCCTGACACACTCCTGTGCCATGTGCGAAGTCCCTGCTGGAGCAAGGAGACTACGACAGACACGAACGGCGATACCCGCCAACCCAGGCCCACACCCCGCAAACCAAAGTGCTCTTGACGAGAGCGCCCCGCCCCGCCCCGCCCCGCCGCGCTCCGCTCCCCGAGCTGCGCCTGCGCAGAACCCCGCGCGGGGGAGGTGCCCTTGGGGCCGAGGCGCAGCGGTGCTTGATGCCACCCGGTGACGTCACTCAGATGACGCCAGGAGTGTGACGCCAGGCGCGTGACGCCAGGGGCGCGCCGGTGGCGGGGGGTGGCTGGGCCGGGGCCGTCGGCGCTTATGGAGGACGAGGACTGCCCCGACCTGGTCCCGATAGGCGCCGACGGCGCGGAGCAGAGCGATGCCGGCCCCGACAGCAAGATCCCCGTGACGATCATCACGGGGTACTTAGGTGAGGAGCGGGAGCGGCGCGCGGCAGAGACTGCGTGCAGACAGGGAAGGCCCGGGCGGGCCGGGGCTGCCGGGCGGGGCCTCCACCCCACGGGCCGGGTGAGGAGCGCGGGGCCCTCCGGCTGCTCCAGCGCATTTGCAGGGCCACTCTGAGCAGCGGTGTAAGCACCCGTTGCTGCTTTCACCACCCTGCTTTCAGGGGCCGCTTCGTTCAGGTCACGATTGACAAATGACTCTTGATCGCTTGGCGTCAGAATAGTGCAACATATTTGGCTCAGTTAAATGCAGACTGCGTTGCAGTCTGAGAAACGTGAGGTTCGGAGTTTTTGCAGTACCCCTCGACCAGCAGAGTTACTGTGTGCTACAAGCAGTTATGGACTGTAAGGATCTGGTTAAATTTAGAATCACCACCACTATTCTAAAAGTGGTAACTTTGTACTGCACCACTCTGTTGCAGAGAAAAACCTCTTAAGACAAGGAAGGAAGGTTCCCTAGTTGTAGTGGTCACCTGCTTTGGCCTAGATGATCTCCAGACGTCCCTTCCACCCTTGACAGTTCTTTGATCTTGTGCATGGCATAAAACTGCTCCTAAAGTGGTGTCGCAGGAGCTGTGAACACGTTTTTTAACAGTGCCCCATTTAAAGGCAGTTAGTAGCACATCCGTGGTTACGGATGGCAGAACTGGTCAGAAAAGGCAGTAAGAGGGAGGAGATTAAGTGTGCCTTTTGTTAAAAGAAGCATAAAAGTTAGTTTTGTAGGAAAAAACTCCCCAGCTAGTAGAGGACTTGTAAGTTTAGCAAGTACTGACACTTAATGAATGGAAAAACTGTGAGTCATTTAGGACTGAGATTTAATGTCCTGATAGTTCCATGGGTTGAAACATATCTACAAATGAATTTCTACATCATTAGAATAGAATGTAGGATAATAGAATGAAAACTTCTATTTAGAAGAGACTTGCTAGAAGTGTGCATACGCATGCATAATAGTATTTCGTTTTTTTTATTTGAAATTTACTGTGAGGTTTTTTACGTTTTAATAGAAATATGGTCTGTGTTCTAGGAGCTGGAAAAACAACTCTTCTCAATTACATACTGACAGAGCAGCATAATAAAAGAATAGCAGTTATCCTGAATGAATTTGGAGAAGGTATGTAAACGTGCAGAAATCTTTCTTTTTGCCACAAAATGACAACTACATAAAACTGCTGGAAACCAAGACTGTTGTAATTTTAAATCCATTACTGAAATTGTTAACATACCTCACAGTCTTCAGAAGGGCAGAAAGTCTTTTTGCTGGTTTTCATAAAGTAGTGACATTAGTAAATAAAGGCATCACCCTCTTGGAAGTGTTCTACCTCCATTTGTCCCACTCAGTTTCAAGCAAATGGAAATTAAAATAATATGTTGGTAGATAATATTTTCTTTTATTTCTTTTCCCCTCAGCCATTTGCAAATCACAAATTATCCTGGACCAAGAAAATGGGGAGATGTCTGCTTGATGGCTGTGGTTCTTTGAACTCTTTGCTTTCAGGATTTTTAATTGCTCTAGCTATAATTTCATATCTGTACCATAGTTAGAAGCTTACATTTTTTACAGTGTATACTGTGTTGGTGGGGGACTTTTTGTTTGTTTGCTTTCATCAATAAAGATGTGTGTAGCTTTTCTGGTCACAGAGCCTAAAACAAAACGTACAGACAGAACCTTTATTTGATAGGCTGGCATCCCTTTCTTTTAGCAAAGTTTGTGGCACTTACGATGTACCATCATCCAGTGGGGTTTGATCTTTGTGGAATGAGCTTTGTTTTGGCTTTTAAATTTCTCATAAAATAGAAATTACAAATTTCTTAATAGCATGTCAGAAATGTGGTCTCAGGAGAAAAGAATGTAATCCACGTCTCTCTCTCTTTCAGGCATTGTCATGCAAGACTGTAGATTAAAAATATACCACTACTTGTGTTTTCAGGAAGTGCCTTGGAGAAATCTTTGGCAATCAGTCAAGGGGGAGAACTCTATGAAGAATGGCTGGAGCTCAGAAATGGCTGCTTGTGCTGTTCAGTAAAGTGAGTAAGGACTATTGTACAAGTTCTTCCAGTGGAGATTGTGGGGAATTGAGGAAGGGAGAAGACATCCAGGATTTGATTCCTGAAACTAATGGTAGAATTGATTGAGACTTCTTTTGTCAGATGAAACAATTGGAATTTGGGAGGTAGAAATTTATTTCCTGTCACTGCCTTACTGGATTTGGACTTGGTGTCTTTCAGAGAAGTAATCTAAATAACAACTTATACACCATGGGGATATTACAGAGTAGGGATCTACCCCTCTATTGTTACTATGATATGCTTCCATGCGGGGAGGTGAAGATTCAGGTAGGCTGGAGCTAGGACTCTGATTTCCCAATTTCCTCACAAAACACGTAGTCTGCTTCTTTCTTTGCACATTGGTTACTACTTCAATATTGTATTCATTATGTAAAAGGATGAATGGAAAACTTTTTGTGACCTAATGAAACACAGTATCCAAATCTGTAAGCTGCTGATCATGGTAAAAAGCAAGAGAGTATTTGTTCCTTTGACATGTTTTTTTTCCTTTGACCCTGTTTATTTCAATGCTGAATTGTCGGTGCTAAGTTTGTAAATAAGGGTCATGGCCTGTTTGTTCTGAAAATTTGGGAGAACTGGTCTTATGCCTTAAATAGGAATAGGTAGTAAGTGGAAAAGAGAGGATCTTACTGCATTCTGTTGTTCTGGGGTGTAAGGAATGCTGTCTTTAGAGAAGCATAGAAGTTTTATATACATTTCTTTATTGTATTTATATGCTGTTTTACATGCTGCTATGTTTTATATACATTGCTGTCATATATAAATGCTATACATTTCTGCTTCAGGCTGACTTCATCAGCTCTAATTTAAGTAAATGGCCTGTTAATCTTGATGTAGGTGAGGTAGAAAGGCAGGCCAGCATGCTTCACTTCTACCTCACCCCTTATTTCTGTAATATCAGCTGCCAAACCAAATAGTTACATATCTACACAGCCCTACTGTCCTTTACAGGTTGTTCAGTATTTGAAAACAAATCTTTAGGTCACCTGATGGGATTAGGCAAATGCTATTTTCAGACTAAAATAAAGCAGAAAAGTAAAATTTGCCTAATAATATGCCAGCAGATAACTAAATTTTCGTTGCAGACTGTAAGTCTGCAAATGTCCTGTCTCAGAACTTCTGCTTTGATGATACTGACACTGTGTTCTGCATTAGAAGATACATTTAAATACATGCTTTAGCTTATTTTCTCTGTTCTCAGATTTAATTGTTTCTTCTTACAGGGACAATGGTGTGAAAGCAATTGAGAACCTGATGCAAAGGAGAGGAAAATTTGACTATATATTGTTAGAAACAACTGGTTTGGCAGATCCAGGTAGTTCACATTACAATTTTCATAACCATGATAATTATTCTGGTTTTATGAAGTGCTTATTTGCTCACCAGTTAGTTCACTTTGACAGTTGTGATATAAAGTGGTGGGTTGTCAGGCACCTATGCTTTGGTGGTGGTACAGACTCCAATGAATTGATTCAAGGTGCGGATATGAGGTTGTGTTTGGTTGAGTTCTCTTTGCTGAACTTGTTCTAAATTGAATCTAAAGCTTAGTAGAAATCCAGCTAAAATATATTTCCATTTAGAGAAGATACTGGGCTTAGCAAAGAAAAGCATACTCTGAAACTAGTTTTCAGTACACTTTTGATGTTCTACATTCCTCCTTTTAAAGTCGAGTTAGCATCTGTTGTATTGTTATACTTGTTGTGATAAGCCTTATATTTTGTGAAGTTGTAAAATATACTGTGAAACAGACTAGTACATTCTTCTTAAAGAGCAATAATAGATTTTACAAAATCCTTCTGTGTTCTTTAGTAGTATTTATTATAAAAAAGGTGTTTAAACTTGAGCTCATGTTAGGAATAGCTATCCAAAACAGTTTTCTTTAAACCATCCACATTAAAAATCTGTTATAGATGGAGAGGGAAGGAAATTCTTACCAGAAATTCAATTGTTTCCCCTTTAGGAGACTGGTGCTTTCCAGCTCAAAGCTAAGGAGTTGTCATTATGAAGTAATTTTCTTCAGAGGACAGGACATTGATTTGGCCTCTGTTACACACAAATTCTGTTTGAGTCAAATTGGAAAACTATTAAGCTTTTTTGAAAAAAATCAATAGATACCAGAAAACGATTTCATGTTGTGGTCCCTGCTATATCTTGCCTGAGTAAGCACTAGAACAACTGACAGGTATTTGGGTCTGATACAGAGTGGTGTTTGAAGGACTGCATTGTATCACTTCTGGTGGACAGTTTTAGGTATTGGAATGACTTATTCACTGATCTTATTGTTAGCACTGCAAATACAGTTTTTCTATGAAATAGTGTTGGTAGTTTACTGAAAAAAATATCAATCTTGCAACTGTACATATATTACACTTCTTAGGAGCTGTGGCCTCCATGTTTTGGGTTGATTCTGAGCTGGGAAGTGACATCTATCTTGATGGTAAGAAGTGCAAGCTTATTTTCCTGTGTATTGACACTTGATATCTGGATTTAGAGTAATGTATTATTGGTGTTTTAAGGCAGGGTTTCAGAAAATGTTTGAAATGTATGAACTTAGATTTCACGCTGCCAGATTTGATCACAGAGGTATCCCTGCTTATTCTGATGCTTGTTTATTTACTTGGTGAGGTGCTCAATCTTGCTAAATCCAGCAAAAGTTGTGTAATGCTTTTCTAAGGGATCAGATATGGACAGCTCTTAATAGTGATGTAAGGGGAAAATCTCATTAACTAGATGTTATAAAACCTCATTTAGGAGTAATATTACAGCATGCTTTTTTTCTCTTTCTTCCTTCCCCCCCTTCTACTGAAATACAGTGTTTCTTAAAGGGTTTCCTATTTTTCTGAATTCATAACTTGTCAACACCTGGATGTTTCTGCCTTGTGTTTTCTGCTTGCTTTACCTATTGTACTCGTTGGCTTGAATATTTGCTGTGTTCTAATAAAAACCTGAGATTACTGAAAGATAAGTCATCATTATACGTAGCTAAAGAGCAATATTTTTTAATGTAGGAAAAAATTACTTTTTGACTTTAAAAAATGCCCTACTAACATTTTGGTCAGTCTGTGAAATACCCATCTAACCAAGGAGGGAAACATTGAATTCAAGAAGAAAGAGCTTCCTAAGTTTCTGCCAGAGACTTGCAAATTTCTGGTCGTTTACCATCAGAATGGCTGCATACATCAGTCAGTCCCTTAATTTGTTTCATTATTCTGTTAAAGCATACCTCAGCCAATTTCCTCTTACGGAAGATGAGGCATCTACTTTGTGAGAATTTCTTACCTGGTTCTGTAGACATTTTACTACCACAGATATGACAATGAATAAAAAAATACTTAGGTAACAAGTTTAGTGTTCACAGACTTTCAGTGCTTCCAGTTTATTATAACTAGTTGTAAATGTGCTGATATTGTTGCCTTTGTACAGGAGGTTTGCAAGTTGTTAAACTGTCAGCCGCTTTCAGCACATTTCTATTCCATTTTAATGTTTTCTTTTAGGTATAGTGTCTGTTGTTGATGCAAAGCATGGATTGCAGGTAAGTTACTAGATTTGTTACATGGTTTAAAACTGCAGCATTAGAACAGCTACTGCAGTAATGTACATGTGGATTAATTTATTTTAACAATAGCTGTAATTCTTAGATTGAATGATGACGTATTTCATTATTGCCATCTTTTGAATGGGCTCAAGGAAGTACTGGTATTCGCAGGAATTCAGATTCTTACAGACACAGAAACAGGTGTGACAAGAATTGTCAGGTTGCTAAGTACTTGGTTTCTTCTAGTTCTGTCTCTTCACTCGGGAATGTTGCTTTTAATCCAAATAGGCATTTGGATTGCTGTAAAAACAATGGAGAAATTGGTCACTAGTCTGTGTTACTTGAAAGGAGAGGACTAAGAACAGATGTCTTTTACCAGTGTGGTAACAACTGAGGGCTTGAGCTGGGAAGGGTACTAATGTAATGGTAGCTGTGGCAGGGAAAAATGAGAGCACAGGTGTCTTGGTACTGCTTCACATTAAAATATTATATGGAAGCAGACAAAAAGAGCAGGTATTAGAGTAATCTGTGTATAAAGTATAATGTAAGAACAGACATATAGAACAGTGAGCTTGGGTCAGCAAAAATTGTCATTAATTCAAATAGTGCAGCTTTTTTTTCCCCCTTTTTTATTTTTGGCAATAGGTGAGTGTAAATATAGCTATTTGCGACTTAATAACTTAGCAGGTTACTGCTTTGATTGGGTATTGATTTTGGAGGATTCAGAAAAAAAGTGGCCATTTGAAAAAGTGCCTTCATTGTGAGAAATGCTGCTCACTTTTAAAATTTCACAGGTTTGTTAAACCTTAACAAAATACAACAAAAGGACTGAATAAGGAGAAAGACCATACAAGGGGGAAAGGGGATTATGGGGAAAAGAGAGGATATCCAAACAGCAAATCACAATAACGTAACTATACATTAATAGAACTTCTCTTAACATACATATATAATATTCATCTCTTAATTGCGAGAGCCAACCACTGCATTAACCATCTATACAAAACCCCCTTTTTTCTATAAGTCATTTCGCTCGAGCAGTTAATTCTCATTTTTAATTTCGATGATCTACTCTTACTTCTCTTGAGTCCAGTTTAATTTTGGATGAGTCATAATAGTATCTGTTGATGTGAATGAGGACAGTGGGATCAGGGAAAAAAAGACACCTCAGGTTTTGCTTAAGCAAAATGGTTGGTGGAGTTGGTGACATGAATTGGTTGGAGCAGACAAAAGGGAATCACAGGGGTCTGGTATGGCTTTTTATCCCCATCTAACATTTCCATGGGGTTGCTACCCATAGCAGGTGTATCGTGGGGGCAAGTATAGAGGCTAACTTGAGTTAGCTGTCTAGCCTCTGTTGTACTCTGTTTGTCAATTGTACCTGTATTGGATTCTGTAGGGAAAAGACAATTGAGGTCTACTATAGCTTCTGCCCTCACCTTACTGAGCTTACAGGGTTGCTGCCCGCAGCAGGGCTATATAATCTTCTTGTTGGCAAGCACAGGGGCCAGCCCGGTCTTACCCTCAAGTGAACCATCCCGGCCCCTCTCACTGTTCCCCGCATACTTCCCCTCAACAGACACTCCCAATCCCCACCCATTAAAATAGGACAATTACTTCAATAACTGATACAATTGAAATTCCCCATTCAAAGTGTTACTTGAAACAGTCCTCAAGCTGGCTAGTGGAAGCGTGGCTCTACTTTTTGGACATCCTCGTGCTTCTCTAGTTGTCTCTGCTTAAGAATGAAGCTTGTCTTGCTTGGTCTGGATGTTATAGTCCATTCTTTGGGTTCTTTCATCAGGCCTTTAATTCTGTTGACACGAGTCCATTCCTGCTCTGCAGTTTGCACAGCTGATTCATGGTTAGCAGTTTTAATGCTTTAAAACCTTTCCCCTTCTGCGCCCACTACTTGCATGGTATTTTGACTCTTCTCGCATCCCTTTTGAATTTTACAAACACAAGTTCTTTCAGCTCTTGTGTCTACCAAAAATTCAAATTCTTCCTCTTAGAGACTTACTTTAAGGCTACCAAGGGCTCCTCATGCTACTCTGTTCCCAGTAGGTAGAGCCCCTGACACCTCTAGTCTTCTGCCTCCCCTCTCTGCTCGTTCTTGTAAACCTTCAGGTCCCTTTACCTTTGGCTTGCTCTTCAGAGCCAGTCTTGAAGGCACATTACATAATATCCAGCACTAACAGAACACACAACTGGGGATGCAAGCATCAAAACCTCACCCTAGGACACATGTCCAAAGGGAAAAGGACCTGAAGGCTTATGAGATATGTCAATTTTTCTTGCAATAAAAACAAATATGTTCTTCTCTAATGGCAGTTAACATTACTCTGGCCTTTTCCTTTGCTTTCTCTTCATCCCTCCTGACGTACCTTTTCTGTGCCTCTCTTAAGAGATCCTCTAATCCCCTTTCTTGCCAACTGTCCAACTTCTGTAATTTTCTCCGTATATCTGGCCATGCATGGGTGGTGAAATACATCATTAGCAAGGTCTGTCTGGCTGCTGTATCAGGGTTGATACCTGAATACTACCTCAAATTTTTCCTCAACGTTTCTAGCCACTCTGTTGGGGTTTCTTCCCTCTCTGATCAAATGCCTTACAAGCATTCTGGCTTTGTGGGGCTGCCTCTTTAATACCCCTTACAATAAAAGTTCTGTAATCCTTCCTCCATGTTTTGCCTTCCCCCGAGGTTGTTGTGGTTCCAAGTGGGGTGTACAGTGGGCATCTTCAGATCCCCAGGAGGTCCTTGCAAGGAGGCCCTTTCCTATATCTGCATCCCAGCCATCCAGATCATCTGTCTTTCCTGTGGTATAAATAACATGGTCATTACTGATTGCATTTGATCCCATGTATAAATGCTGGCCTTAAAAATTAATCTAACTGTTCTTTTGGGGTCTCTAGTAATCCTTTTAACTCTTCCTTGAGCATACTCACATTAGAGGAATTGAGTGGTATAGTTAGAAATCTACACCCCACCCAGTGTATTTCCCTCAGAGGATATAATCTCACTGCTTGTTCTCATCCCTTGGACTGTCTTCCTCTTGCTGTCCCATTCTGTTTCTAGTATTTAGACTAGGCCCATGAAAGGACAAGGGAAGTGTGGTTGGTGCCAGTGCAAGTGTAGGGAGCAAATAGTCTAATGGGTCCCATTCTTTACTCTTTGTTACTTTAAACATGCCCACCCTTGAAGGCGAGATTTCTTCTTCACAACAAGCAGCGTAGTCACTCTCCTCTTGATTAAACGGTTTTGTAGCCCTTACATAGATGTTTAAAGCCTGACATATCCACCCTTTGTCCGACCCATACCTCAGCCAAAATACACTATTGGGCCTAATTTCCCCTACAGTGCACTCTGTCATATAGTACTCTATCATCTTAGCCTTGTCCTTATCTCTGGTGTTGGGGTCATATTATGACTGGGCTACTCTTCTTCCCAGGGAGCTCTTTGAGAGGTACCTGTTGATATATCTTCACTTCCTCCTTCTTCCTTTGGGGATTCCCTACTTGCTCCTAGTCCTATCCGGACAGGCCCTCCTAACATGGCCTGCCTTCCCAATCAATCAACTACAGGCCCTCCCAACAAGGCTCACCTTCCCAATCCGCTAACTACAGGCCCTCTCAACAAGGCTAGCCTTCCCAATCAGCCAACCATAAATCCTCCCAACGGAGCCTGCCTTCCCAACTGGCCAACCACAGGGCCTCCCAACAAGGCCCACCTTCCCAATCAGCCAATTACAGGTTCTAGCCTGCTTTCTGAACAACGAGAAGGAAGGGGTGGAAGGAAGGAAGGAAAGAAAGAAAGAAAGAGAGAGAAACAAAAAAACCCCTTGCCTTCTTCCTGGAAAGCAGAAGCAAACAAATACCCACTTGTAGTCCCGTATAACGGGGTCGGCACCGCTGCAGTCTTGCACCCTGGTGCCCTCTGGTGTAGTGCAGGGCAACTGCCAAAAGCCACCCAGGTGGCCTCCCATGGTGCTGCAGCTTTATGCTGGCAGGTACCATAGGGAAGCTGGCATGGTCCAGTGCTCCAATAGCTTCCAGTGCAGGGCAGCCGCTGAAAGCCACCCTTGTGGGCTCCCGGAGTCGCTTGGCCTTATGCCGGCAGATGGCAGGGAAGCTGCTGTGGCCCAGTGCCCTCCAGCGCACCAGTGCGGGCAAGCACTGTGAGCCCCTCGTGTGGGCTCCCGCAGCTGCGCAGCCCCCGCACAACTGAGCTAGCCCCCTGTTCTCAGCAGCGCCGTGTGCAAACTGCGTTCAGCAGACTCCGCTGGCTCAGCAAGTATGGAAGTTCGGCAGCGCCGTGCGCAGCCACACCTAGCGTGTCCCAACCTGTCACCGCCCCCCTCAGTGTTGGCAGCACTGCCGAGCACACACCGGCAGCTTATTGCACCAAGTGCCACTGCACGCCGCTATCCCATGTGGTGCCCCTGTGGTCCCACACCCTCAGTTGGGCGGTCCACACCACTCAGCTGTTCCTGCTGCTGGTGGCCCCATGCACCCAGAGCCTTCCCTTCCAGTCTGCGTGCACAGCCCCACCGATCAACACGTTCCACAGTCGGCAACTCCCACCACCAGTGGCTCCATGTGCTTGGAACCTTCCGGTACGTTTGCGGCCTCCACTGATCGGTGGTTCCTGCTGGTCTAAGACCCATTAAATATGGTAACTCATAACCTGGTCTCCCCAGGTGCTCTTGAGGTCTCCCTCCTGCTTGCAGTTCTCTCCTAAGTCTCACATGCACTCCAAGCACACTCCCAGACTCCGTCTCAGACACACACTATATGCACTTTTGTCTGCAGTTTTTTTCAGAGGGCTTTTTCTTCACCCTCTTCTTTTCGTTACCCAGTCTTTTTTTGTCTCCAGGGTGTCAACCTGCTATCACCAATGGTCCCAGGAGAGGTCAAACTTGGCAACTCTGCCAAACTCAGCTGAGGCATGCATACATCTTGTCCGAAATCCCCTGGGGCCACAGAGATGAGGTTTTATAGTCTAGACTGAGCCCCATATGTGAGAAACAACGCTCATTTTTAAAATTTCAGAGTTTTATTAAACCTTAACAAAATACAACAAAAGGACTGAATAAGGAGAAAGAGCAACACTGGGAGTGTGGAAAAAAAAACTGCCATGTGCTCACCGACAAAATGGCTGCTCCACCTTTTATGCTCTTGCTGTTGCATCAGCCAACCCTGGCCCCTTGCAAAGTCTGTCAGTCAACTCCTTCGCCATCCATTGGTGGAGACTACTTCCTTGCAATTTGATTGGAGGTCCGGTGTTGTCGTGCCACACCTCCTAGTAGCAAGCCTGCCCTCCTCCCAAATGCCTCATGCAAGGGTCACAGGTACATGCCCTCCTTCCATATGTCCCAACTACCAAGTCCGTCTCTTGGCAACCATGCAAGGGGGAAAAGGGGACTATGGGGAGAACAGAGGATGTCCAAACAACAAATCACAGTAACGTAATTATACATTAATAGAACTTCTCTTAACATACGCATAATATTCATCCTTTAATTGCAGGAGCCAGCCACTGCATTACCACATATTAGCCAGCCACTACATATAGCAATCATATAAAAATTCCATGCTGTGGAAGTGTTTTTAATATTTCTGCTTTTACAATGGTTGCAAATGGCTCAGAGAACTGAAGAATAATGGTTTAAAAATAAGAGAGTAATTCTTCCTGTGTAAGATTTTTTTTTTTGTTTGGATTACTTGGGTTTCTCCTTACATTTGTGCTTATCTAATAGCTGATTTACCAAAAGGGTAAATCAGGCCAGCAGTCCTATCCTCTTATTAATTTGTGTTGGACTGGAACAGAACAAATCTAACTTCATAGCAGTTTGGCAAGTTAAGTTCATTGTGTTCTGCAAGAACTTTTGTGGAGAAGTTGGTAGAAGAGTGAGGGGAAGGGGGTGATTTGCTCTTCCAAGAGCAAATCACCCCTTTCCCCTCACTCTTCTACCAATTTCTCCACAAAAGACAGCAGTCACTGTCTTTTAAATCAGTATCATGTTTTAGGTCAGCCCCTTTTCAGCTGGGTTCCCTCATACTAATTCCTTCATACTAATTCAGATGTGTTTTATTGCTTGCAAAAATGTTGTTCTGTTTATCTTTTTCTTCATGCAGTGCTGAATTATTGTCTTAGATGAAATATAATTGTGTTGTACACAGCAGCACTAAATTACTACTGAAAGTTAGTTTTTTAAATGCTAGACTTTCAAGTAATATAACAGAAACAACACAAAAATGTTTTGAAACATTCAAATTTTCTATCTACTATTACCTGTGGCACCTAAATGAAAACATACATTATCTAATCAGTAAACCTGTAAAAGCACTGACATCTACTCAGAATAGTAGGAACTTCAGACTTTCTCAGTTGTGTACTAAGTAAACTTTGCTATGGAAGGACTTATTAACTTGTTTAGTTCCTCTGATTGCCAAGCCTGACCTCAACAGCTGCTTATTATTCAAAGAACTTTGAAAGCCATACAGGTAATGACATTGAGATAAGGGGCAGCAATTTAAGTATGTCATGCTTCAAAGAACCAGCCCATCTCAAGAAAAGCTGACAGACATCTCCTGTGACCAGCCATACCACCATCCCTGTGCTACCATGGGTTATCAATCTAACAGGTTTGTCACACAGCAATCTGAAATACTAATTTCTTTAATTGAGAGCAAACAGTTGGACGGCTTGAAGTTCCAGTCCTCAGCTTCCAGGACCTGATACCTGGACTGCTGACATTTGCTCTTTTCAGGGCAACAAACCTAAACATTAATTGAATAGAAAAAATACACAGAGGATTATAAAGAAAAGGTTAGAGGAGAGGTTCCTGAGAGTCATCTTCTTGTTATTCTCTGCATAGGTTGTGCAAAATTAGGAAATAGTTTTGTTTCTTTTTACATGATAGACTCACAGTATGCAATAAGCAGTTTTTGCTTTTCTACAAGTAAAATGCTGTTAGATGCCTAATAATTCCAGTAAAGAAAAAAAGTTTTATAGGTTTTTAAAAACTATGTGTTTCCCGTGACAGTTGATTCCACTTTTAATTTGGTACTTCTGTAACTTGAAACTGAGATTTTAAAGTAATATTCCTGCTACATTTAGAGCTGATGAAGCAGTGCACAGGACTCTTAACTTTCCTGGAGATGTAAGCATAAGTGGCAAGTTCTTACTAGTAGTACAGCATCAGTTTGAAGTTTTTCTTCCTCCAGTTGTCTGTGACATTTTTCTCCTAGAGATTGCGGTCTCCATGGCAGAGTGGGCAGAAAATAACTTGTAGCTAGACCTCTGCTGCTTCAGTGTAGTCTGTTGCTCTGCCTAAGTTAAGTAAGCCTTTGTCTTGCTAAATATTACGCTGCTGCTTGAGATGCAGGTATTTTCTTCTCTTTCACTTACTCTTCTGTGCAGACACTAGCATGGGCAGACAAGTGGAGATGATACTGAAACTCCTGTAGCTTCTGATTTTGGACAGACTTGTCAAAGAGCAGTGGTTTATTCATACAAACCTGGAAAAAATTAGCAGTTTTTACTATCAAAGTACAGTTTGTCTTGTACAGTCTTCCAGAGAAAAAGAGTGTGAAGTTGCTTATATGAAATGCTGTATTGCAAGCCTAGCCTGTGTTTTTTTAGTTGAGTTCACATTCATTTGTAAAGTAACTGAGCCTTCATTTTCTTCGAGATATATTTTTTCATTGTTACTGTATGTCATAGTAACTTTTTTACTTGTAAAGCTGAAAAGTAATTAAATATTATAAAGTTTTCCAAATCTTTAGCATTCTAATAATAAAATCAGTTAGAAGAGTTTGCTTTAAACTAATTGTAAATATCTGTAATGGTGAATGTATAAATTTACTTTTTCACTGTCATTTAACAGAAATATTCTAGATGCTATTTTCCTCAATACCTTGTCAAAAAACAGACCTCAACTGAATTGGATTTGGCTTTTTTTAATTTCAAATCAATTTAAATTTAATTTGAATATGATTAATCCAATTCTTTTAATTTTTGTTTAGCATTTGACAGAGGAGAAACCAGAAGGCCTTATTAATGAAGCATCTCGGTATGGATATAGAAATTAATTTTATATATCAAGTTGGGAATTGCACTGTATAAAAGTTCATTGGAAATGGGTTCTTTTATAGGGCTTTTTTCTCCTGCTTTGCTTAAACTGAGGTAGATTAGTGTAATGACGTAAAATGTGGAAAAGTAACTTCATGGTTCATTTGATCTTTCTGCCAAGAACGGGCTCTTCCATTTTGATAGTGATGGGATTTTATTTAGGTGAATGAGAAGCACCTGTGTTGGGGGAATTAAAAGTTTTGTGTTAGGCTCTATCATGCTTGAAGCAGAACTGGAGATAGAGGAATACTCTTTAACGAATGTGGAACCACAATAATTAAGGGTTATTGTAACAGTTGAAGTCTTCATAAAGCAAAGAGACTTCAAGTAGTGCATTACTAGGATCACATGCAAGGCAAATAGGTATTTGTACATCAAACAAACACCAACAAACAAACAGAAGAGCCCTGAAATAAAAGAATCTAGCAAGCCTTGATTTGATCTGTTTGGGCACAGAAGAACATACTGAGGAGAAGTCAGTAGTACTTTAATCATTCTTCATGATATTCTAGTTTGATTAATGCTTGCCGTTGTGTACTAACAATGTTCATACTATCTTTTGGGGCCGTAGGAGAGATGATGTTTCTCCCTTACAGATAAAGTATTTGTTAGTCATGTCTTTTTCTCTCTTTTTTTTTCTTAATACATAGGCAGATTGCATTAGCTGATCTTATAATCATCAATAAAACAGATTTGGTTTCAGAGGAAGAATTGAATAAAGTCAGAACATCTGTGAGGTATGAAACTTTTGGCATAACTGTAACACTGCTTCCTCAAAAATCAGTTTAAATGTAGTTACTTCTTTACTGCTGTTAGAATAGAAATTAGATCTCATTATTGGATTGACAAAAATTGATAAGCTTATAAGAGAAAAGAGACCGTATCTTGCGAAAGATACTTCGGTACTTCTGTGTACTTACACAATCTTAGTATTTTGTTTATCTAGATGAGATTTGATGTTATTTACTAAGGACAGGCCTTTGTCTTAAGTGTTTACGTTTTTATGTTTCTGAGCAGCTGTTGCCTTTTTTTGAGACTTAGCAGAAGTGGAAAAAAATCTGCTGGTAAATACATGTTCACTAGCAAATACAAAGATATATTCGGGAGGAAGTCCCAAACAATTATCATAGGAGCAGAAGACCAGTGGTCTGAAACAAATTAATGATCGAAGACATTACTCTTTTCTATCAATACCATGATAAGCCAAATTAAACATTAACATTTTAAAATACTTTACAACTGTATTAGTTTTTTGAAATATGAAAATAAAAACACTCAAACTAAGCAGAGTATATCGTGAATAGCTTTGGATAGGAGAATGCTCTTCTCACTGGTGGTATCTTCTTGTCAGAACTTGTGAAGTTCCCTAGCTCTTAGTGGAAACCAAATATCTCAACCCATATCTGATAGTTATTTAACAAGCTGATAACAGAGTTGGGATGCTGTTTCACATGATGCTGTCCATGGTTAACATATTCAAACAATATATCATGGTTATATTTTCCTCTAACTAATGATTTTTCTGTTTTATTTTAGGTCAATAAATGGACTTGTTAAAATTCTAGAGACACAAAGATCAAGGTATTAAATGGCCACTATTACTAGGTACTAGATCCTGCTTCTTTTGTGATAGTTTGAAGTGTTCCATTAAATCAGCTTTATTAAAGGAAAATTATTGAATTAGAACTATTTAATCCAATATTTATTTTATGAATTGCTGCTGTTACTACAAAATGTCTTTGAAAGCAGCGGAAGGAATTTACAAGAACAAAAACAAAAACAAAAAAAATCATTGCACTGTTTTTTGCTATTTTTAATTGAAATTCTGACTCAGTTTTCATCTTTAATAAGGACTTCAATAGATGCTGTATTCCCAGGAGCGTTAGGAAAGCAGTAGATCTTCCAGACTGTTAGGACTGATTTGTGCACTTTTACATCAATTATTGGATAATTGTGGTCAGTGTTCGTAAAATATAAGTTTTTGACTTAAGCAAATTTAAGGAGAAAGTAATAGTCATAACCTTAATAAAGTATACATGGCTTTTTAAAGTTATTGTCAAATATAGTTGGAAATTTTAGAGAAAAATACTTGTTTTTGTTGGGTGATCAGATATGACTAATTTTGAAGAAGGTACTGAACTACATTGTTTGTGTTTTAAATGTCCATTAGAGGAAGAGCCAGCATGTGATCTCTTAGCATATTGTATGGTGTCTGATGGAAGTTAGCACTATGTTTTGGATATGAGATAAAGTGGGCCTCAGATTCAGTCCTCAATGACAACTCTTTGTTACTTGTAAATATTCTTCTGTAAATGACACATATGGTCTCTTTCATTATTAAACATTCCAAATGTGAAATAAGCACAAAATTAACTTATTGGCATGTTATTTGAGGATATACACTTTCTAAGAGGGGTTTGTCCCTCAAAAACCCACATTTAAAAGGGAGGGTTACTATGTGATTTTTTAGAACACTGCTGAGAACAACTGACACTTAGCTGGTCATGAATTTTACACAGGAATTGTTTGTGTATTCCATTATAAGTCTTTCATCTTAGAAACTGCTTGGTACAACTACACTGAATGTAAAAGTTTAATGATTATGGTTGTATTCTAGAGGTGGGGTTTTTCTTACCTGTCATGTTCTTTTTATTTAGCCCCCTGTCATTAACTGCATCTGAAAAGCTGTCAGTTGCTATTAGCAGTCAAATATGTAGTCTGTATTGCTTTGTGAAGAAAAGTTTCTTATGCAAGTTTATAGGCAGCCATTCTTGTAAGCAGATATGATTGGTACTACCTAATCTGTATTACATTTTTTATTTGTCTGTTTCAAATTGGACAGTTGAAATTCCTAGTAGTAGTGTTTCCCCCATAAAGTTATTTCAGTTTTGTTTGCTAACGATGTGTCAGTATTCTACTGACATGTATTCCAGGGGTTTGTGTCTGTCTTGAGAGGCTCAAGGTTGCTTTTCCCCTTCAGGGAAAATAGTTTATTATTCAGGCATTCAGTATAAGGGATTTTATCATACTTTTGGAAATACCTTGTATTTTACCATAAAACAGTACAATTTTAAAAATTTTGTTTCTGTGCTTACATGTTATTGTGTAACTAAACGCAGCATTTCTTGTAGAAGACAGTACCAACCACTAATATCCAAAAATAAGGCTAAGTATTAATGGCATTAGTCTTATAGACAAGAAAAGAAACATGTGCTTCAGTGAACATCTTTAAGACCTGACATTTAAATACATGAAAAATACAAAGCTTTCTTTTTCCCCCTCTCTTTAGAGTTGATCTTTCTAATGTCTTGGACCTACATGCTTTTGACAGTTTATCTGGAGTAAGGTATGGTGATAATTTTGTTGTCTTTTATAAGAAAAATAATACCAGTGTACGAAACAGACACACTGAAATCCTGGCTCAAATTTGCATCTGAGTTTCTGTTAGAATTTCTAGTTTAGTCTGTCCTGTCTAGACCAGGACAGTCACATTTTAAAAATTATTGCTTTATAAGTGGTAATATCAGATGGAATTCCTTTCTTCTTCAAATGCCTGCAAAAAACTTTTTGACCATACAAAGTTAAAAGAGCCAGAGTTTGTGTGGTTGGTTGGATTTTTTCCCCAAAATGCAAGTTTGGTTTAGTGTCAGAATAGATTTGTACACTTCTCTGGTTCTTTTAAAGCGTTTCAAAATTTTTTCTCCTTTGTATTGTGATGAAATTGAGGCCTCTGTAGATTTCACACAGAAGAATGAGGGACTGAGGTTCCACAGCAAACAAAGGCTCTACAAATTCTGATAACTGTATTTGTCATTCCTGGGGTTTTTAAATGCTGAATGCATGATTCAGCATCCTGGATGGGTGCAGAAGTAAAATGGGAAGGAAGGGGGAAAGGTCATTCTGTTAATTGTGTGTGCTGAAGCGCAGCAAAGAGAGTGAGGAGTACTGGAGCAATCATAAAGTAAAGAAGGGGAAAGGAGGGTCGTATCAGCTTCATTCTTCTTCATGGATACAGACTTTTCACTTCAGATAATGGAACGGAGCAATTCCTTATTCACAGAGAGAAATTGCAGGACATGCAAATTAGTAACCTCTGTTACATAACAAGTACTTGTGAGATTTCCCTCTGAACTGGTACAGTACTATCAAAATGATAGGTTTTGTGGTTTTTTTGCTGGCACTGGCTTTTGTCTAATCAGTGAAATACTGTAGTGTTTGTTTCAAGATTTTTACCAATGGCAGCATCAGCGAAATACAAAACTAGGCATCCAAAACAAAGTCAAGGAAGGAGGGAGACTTATATATCTTTTAGAGGCAATAGATAACTGTTAATTTATAAACCCATGCTACAAGTTCTTATAATTGATCAGCGAACTGAATTGACTCATACTGGAGCCACACAGCAGAGATAACGCAGTAAAAAGATGTGAACCAGAAAAACATTGTTCCTGTTAACAGCAGTTCACAGTTAGATCTCATTACTTGTAATATTAGGTGGTGTTCTGCAAAGTTTACTCGTTTGCTGCACCCCACAGATCTGAGAAAGTTCTTAAGGAGCTGACAAAAAAATCTTTATTGCTTTCCTCAGTCTAGTCTTGTCTCTTATCTCACTCAGTTACTTAGAGCTTCTCAATATTTGGTATTAAAATAGAGGAAACACTCTAAAATGTCAGCATTTAAAGACAAATCCTAAATTATCAAGAAAATTGTACACTACTTAAGTAAAGTTCGGTTTATTTTGTTTATGTTTGAACTCAGCACAACAAAATTGCTTACCCTTTTTTTAGTTCCTAGACACTGAAATTCTTGCATAAAATATCAGTGATGGTTTCAGTGCCATCACCTGAGTAGAAAAACTCTTTGCATCGAGCACCCTCGAACACAATACACACCAGTACATCAATAATTTTTTCTTTTAATGGTATACTGCAGGAAGGATTTCTGTCAGCAGAAATGGTGTGCCTGTGTGATAGAGCCATGTAGTCTGTATATATCCTGAAGTCACAGGAAATACATCACGAATTCTGGATTCTCAGAAGGGTAGTATGAGAATAAGACAATAAAGCAAAGGAAATAAAAGAAGTAGGAATGTGAAATACTATTTCTGTAGCAGACAGTGCCTTTTTTCACCACCATAAAGGCTTCTTAAAATTTTACAGTTGTCAAATTAGGAGGAGGGGTTTTTATGGGCAATCTTCTCTGAAGTGGCAGAGGGCATTATAGTAACTTGTGCTACAGTGTTTCTTCTCTGCGTGTTATTCACAATATAGAGAGAAAACAAAACAGTACAGAAGACAGTATTTGAAGAAATTTTGTGCTATCTTGATTGAGACAGATGTGGATGTGAAATCTAAAGCTGCAGTACAGTTTTGTGTTGTCACACAAAAAGATGCAGTAGGACCCTAAATATTAGTTTACAAAAGAGGTTCGCAAGTAGAGCTTGAACTTAGGGTCTTGTTGAGTAGAGAGTATCTGTTTTGAGTTAGCAGGCACACTGCACAGTAGAAGTGAGCTGTACAGCTGAGAAGTGGAAGCTGGTATACAGCATTTCAATTTGTGTTACAGATTTCATTCTCTCAAGCAACAGCTTTGTACATTCTTTATTTTCAAATAATTGTAAAGTTTTTTAAAATGAGCATCTATTGATAAATTCTAGTGGTTTATTTTTTCTTGCTTGTTTTAATGATGTTGTTTGCCTTTTTTGCAGAAAGGAGTATCAAGGGTTTTGTATTCATTGAAGTATAAATTTTTTAATCCTGAAGATATTGCAAATTAGGACAATAATTCTCTTTATGTTATAAAAAGCCTAATTTTCTAACAAACAATTAACTATATAAAACAAATAAAATTAAACATTTGTATTTTGAGATTAAAAATTAATTAACTGTTGAAGCTTATTCTGAATATATAGTCTATCTTTGATATTTCAGCTTTGCTTTGCAATACTGGAATTTTTAAAATTTCGAAATAATGACATTTTGCCAACCCTACTGAAATGCGACATTTAACTTCATTTATTTTCAGTTTGCAGAAAAAGCTTGAGCATGTAAAGACAACACATGCACATCTAGATAAGGTAATTACCAAAAATACTGCTTTGATGTTTTTGCAACAACAGGGCTGTTCAATATTGCATGCTAATTTTGTTACCGTTTCAGAAGGTTTCAGTTAGGGAGTAATGTGTTCTAGGGTATTTGGAAGATGACCTAGATTATACAAAAGGAATGTGCTTTGTTGTAGATAGATTCTAAATGGCTGTATTAAGTCTCACTTTTAAAAATGGCTTATAAGCCTCCAGTGCTCCAGACAGTCATGTCATTGGTTGATTCACATGGAGAGTATTAGTGAACCAAATAGAACTACTTTTTTTTTAGGTATTTGAAGAAACAAGTCCTAAATTTCTAGCCAGTCTGTCCTGTGGGTTTTCTATCCAAAACAAAATCTGTCTGGTGTACCTAGGTGGGTAGGGTTCACCCGTAGGCCACGAGTCCCCTCAGTGGCTGCAAAAAAGTAAAAACTTCCATTTTTTTAAGATGTCTTAGAAAAGTGAGCTTTCTGCAGGTTTCTATGATTAAATTTAATTTTCAGGTTAAATTATTGTGCATACAATACCTGTGTTTTTCTTTTTAAACTGCATATTTTAACTGTGAAGTTCCTAGTCTTGAAAACAGGAAAGGCAATTATAATTTAATTTTGGAACTAAAGATGAAATGCAAAATCAGTTTGTGCTTAATTATAATTACAATGACAACGTTGATAGTTTTGTTTAATCAAAATTCTTAAATATGCTCAGTTATAGAATCTTAATAGATCCCTAAAGTAGATGGAAATGTTAAGTAGAATCCTTCCTGAATGTTATGAGTTGTAGTATCCTTATATTATTAAGGAGATCATTGTAGTTTTGTAGTGTGGAGCCATTCGACAGAATTCATTGTTACTATCTGTGTTTAGTTTAACACCCACATATTTAAGATGATTGTTGAGACATTTGAGGCATAATGAGGGCAGAATCGTTCTCACAGTATTCTGCAAGTCCTTGTTGTAAGCCACAGTGTGCTTATTATCTTCATGTTGAAGGTCAACAGAAACAAACTGCACTGTGCTGCGAGCACAGGGAACTTCGGTCTGACGTGTTTTGAAACTGCTCAGAGTGTTAGCTCTTGGTTATTTAGATAAGTTTACTTGGTCATTAGACAAACATTTGCTGCTTGTTGCTTTAATTTTTCTTTCCTTAAGTTAGACTAGTCATCAGAAACTAGTCATTTGAAACCATTTCAGGAAGTAATTCCCTCTCTGTTCTTTCATACCATTGAGCAGTTACAGTGACAAAAATAAGACATTATTTTGTCTTTAAATAAATCATTAATTTTAAACTACATGTTTTATTTTCATATTTTCTTTTGATAATTGATCCTGAGCAGTTAGCTGGCACAAAACTTAACTTCAGACATCTTGATTTTCTGAATCTATTCCTACATAGTCTGTTTATAAACAGCTTTTTTTACAAGGCAAGTACAGATTGCCTTTTATGAAAACTGTGTTGCTTATTTTTTGTCTGATAGAATTGTCTGCAAGATCAGTAAGCCAAAAAAATAGCATAGTTAACCATATTTGAAAGCTTGATCAAAATAGTCTGTACAGCAAAGGACTATATGGTAGCAGCTAATGGCATTAAACTGTTCGAGGCATTGTGTATGCCCTGTAAGTGCACACCCAATCAGAAACAAAAAGTAGAGCTTAATTTAGCATTTAGCGAATTAGAGCAGAACAGAAATAGAGATTTTTTTTTTTTTAAATTTGATCTTGTCATATACTTGCCTTTTTATGAGGCCAAGTTATAAAGCATACTTTTTGAAATTACTGTTATGGGATGTTTATTCAGTGTGGTAATAATAAATGCATCTTGCCCTTTGCAGGCTATAATTACAGTAACATTTGAAGTGCCAGGAAATATAAAAGAAGAAAACTTAAATCTCTTTATTCAGGTAAGTAATACATCACTTTGAACTCAAAAAATCATTGTAGCTTTTTATAGAAACTCTTCTCATGCCACTTTGTTTATGGAAACAACTTTTTCTTTTCATAGAATCTCCTGTGGGAGAAGGATGTGAAAGATAAGACTGGATGCACCATGGATGTCATAAGACTGAAGGTTAGTCAGAAATTATCAACTTCTTTGTTTTATGCTTTTCATCTTTACACCTAAAAAACTGCATTGTGCTGTCACTTACAGACCTATCAAAGGTGCTGCTGATCACTGTAGCAGAGCAGGTGAAATGGAGAGTAGCAAGTTTTTGTTCCATGAATGACTCAGAAAGAGATATCTGGCAGAGGAGCACACACTGATCCTACTTGTTTTGAATGGGGAGGGCAGATGTACAGTCCTGGGACATCAGTGGCAGGGTTAAAAATCGAGCCATAGTTAAATCACTTCTAATTTTCTACCTCCATTGCTTTGAGAGTTTCATCCGTCTCACATATCTAGGGTTGGGATACTGTAGATTGGATCCTATAGATTTCTAGGTGTACTTAAAATTGTTGCCATAATACGCACAAATTAAATTTGGCGTAACATAGGAATGCAGTAGTAGTTGTGGTCTACAATTAACAACTTCTTACAGTATTGTCAGGCTGTAGTTTTAAAGACACAGCTCATAAGTATTCATCTTCATGGGCACTTCATATGTTTTTCAGTTGCTTGGTTTGGAGAAGAGTAGAGGTGACAATTTAGTATCTACTTTCATTTACCTTATACCAAGCAGCCAAGTAAATAATGAAAAAATGAGAATCCAGTAATTTGTCAGACTGTAAGAAATACAAGAAAATAAAGCTCTGGTTTGTTACCTGAGAACACTTGACCATCATAGATAGCAACATTATTATTCTAGTTTTATTGGAAGGAAAGTTGTTTCCTTGCTTTCTCAGCAACAAAATTAGAGTATCCTGGTCTTCTTCTTTCTGACAAATAGAAGAGGGTAGCCACTGATGTATCTGAAGCTGCCTAAAAAGCAGTAATGCACAAGCACGTTTTTGGTATATTGAGCATTGGAATCAAATTAATCCTTAGTGAGATGTGAAGCCTGTGATAAGATGTGTGCTGTCCCTCAGTCACAGACAAATACACCAAAGCAAATGAACCCCAGGCAACTAATTACAGAATAGGTTCCAAAGTTTGTTGCTTTTATATTTATATTTTATCTGCAGTCATAATCCTTTTGGCAGTAATAGTCATAGAATTCCAACTAGTAGGTCAAATGGAGACTTACTTTATTAAATATTTTTAACTCTTTCCTTTTTTAGGGAAGTGTCCTTATTTAGGGCAAATTCTGGGACGAACTTCCAGGAAGTATAAGACATCTTTTACAGAACGTGTTCCACTAAAATATTTTAGAATATTTTGCTATATAGTGATGAAAACTGTTTTAATAGAGCTTTTGATATGTGAGTTAATGGACTCACACTGACTGTGATCCCTTCTAAGTCTGTTGCTCGTTGTTTTACTTCACAAATGTTTATTCTTTCTCCAATATTCAGAGATTCTGTTTCAGGAAAGTAAATATACTGAGCATGAGAGCTTAATTGGATTAATCTGAAACAAACATTTTTGTTCGTTTTACATCATTTTGTTGGCAGGCAGGCTTTCATGGACTCCCATGTTAAACACCATATATGTATTCAAAGAGGCATAGTAGATGATGACATTTAATTTTTGTTTGGGCAGGCCAGGTACTGACAAATGAACAGAAGACAAAGTATGGTAAAGTGTAATTCTTAGCCTTTAACAAAATGTCGTGGTTTGACCAGGAAGTGAGGTTTTGGGGAAGTTATGGTCAAACCAATCAGTGGCCAGATTTCAGATTGACACCTGGTGTGGCCACTGGGGACTTGGATACGCCTCTGAGAACACACAGGGGTTAAAAGCAGAGCATTCCCAGAGAGACTTCCTCTTTGGAGTCCGGCAGGTGAGCGGATCTGACCTCTCCCCTGCCCAGCTGTGTCTATCTCACATCTCTAAGGAGATGTGAAAATGGATGTTATGAGTAGATGTGTTGATTGATAATATGTTTATTTTGTCTAACAAGTGCATAGGTGCCAGAAGTACTGTTGCCTGCTTGAACTTGATTGAAAGTTTTGGTTCCCCTCTTACATATTTTATTTTTAAAGTTTTGTTTATATACCCTAACAGTTATTTTTCTGATAAGGGACTGGTATCTATTCAAGGCAAATCTCATCAAGTGATAGTCCAAGGTGTCCATGAGCTCTATGACCTAGAAGAGACTTCAGTAGCCTGGAAGGAAGATGAAAAGAGAACAAACAGGCTGGTCCTAATTGGTAAGAGGAAATTACACATCTCCTAGTTTAAGGAGCTGGACAGACAGGCTCACAGACTTGGCCAGTGAAAAGCAATCAGGCTAAACTGGTCAGAATTAGTGCAGTGAGCATGTTCAGCATAACCCTCTTTTAAAGACTTATCCATCAAAACCTCCTGAAGTTCAAAATTGCAGCTGAGAGAAGTCTACACTATCCCTATTAGTGCCACCAAAATCAAAACAAATCAAATCAATAAAATACTAAGCTTTCATAAATTATGTTGGCATATTTAATCTTATTTCTGTAGTTGTAAATTGGGTGATGGGAGTAGTTTGAATGTTTGATCAAATATTTAGTAACTGTAAGGAAGGTTATTTTAGCTTTAAAATGTTTAAAATCAGTTTTGGTTTTGAAAAACTTGCAACGCTGAGGTTCTGTGTTTCTATTTCTGTTTATTTGTTTGCTGTGCAAAGTATTTTATTACCAAAAAAAATCCTACTTTTTTCCCTTTCCCTTATTTGTGCAGCTTGAAGTCTGCTGTTACCTTAATTTTAATACTGCTATTCTCACTGATTGATATAATAAACACTTTCTTAGATTAGAAGAAGCTACTTGTATGTGATTTTTTGTAATGCGCTCTAAGATACAGTTAGATATTTTATTTCTCTTTACAGGCAGGAACCTGGATAAGGAGATCATCAAAGAAGTATTCATAGCCACTGTGAGAGAAGAACAAGGAAACAGTTGACATAAAACTATAAAGAAAGATTAAATGTCTCTTTTGATTCTGCAAGGATTTTATAGGAGAAAAGACTGAATGACATGGACTATTGTAGTTTCTATATCCTCTTGCAGTTTATGCAACAGTTGAACCCTGAAGTCTTCCTAAGAATTCCAGCTAACCTACTGCTTTAAGATTAGCTCTTATGGTCTAGAATCAAACACAATTCTCCTTTTTGGATTTGGCTGAAGCTGTGTCAGCAACATCATGTAACTGTGCAGAAATGGAGAGAGGCAAAAGGCTGTTATGTTCTACATGAAGCATTACTGTAAGGGTATGGGAGACATGTTTGAAGCCTAGTGCTTTCTTTTGCTAACTCTCTTCCACTGGGAATGAAGCAATAGTGATTATTGCCAGTGATGTAATCACAGTACAAAATGTTTAGTGTTTACTATTAAACTGTCTTCCATCTCTTTCCACGTGCTTTGTGATTTTTGAGTGTATGCACCCATCCCAGGTACTGTTCTACCTGTAAACCTGTTGTGTAATGAAACCAAAAATACACAGATAGCAGAGGCACAATATCACATGGAGTAAATGCTGTCTACAAAAAAGCTGTGAATGCAGTGTTTGGTCACATTGTCAGCAGTTTGAAAGAGGTAGCTGAACTCTTCAATCTTCTAGGCCATTACCCTGCCAGTTCACGATTTGGGGAAATGAGGACTGCACATTTCCACTGTGTTCAGGCTGTTCTGCATGATTTGTTATGGGGTTCTGTGACACTACTTTGAAAACCTAGTCTGAAGATTTTATCTCTCTACTCATTACAATTTAGAGTTTAACTTCCTGCCCTGTACATTCTCCAGTACTCTCTGTTCACCTCTTAGCTTTAGAGGAATTTTGACTACATCTGTGTGAAAGCAAAATGAGTCAGTGCCGGAAGATAATATAGAATTAGAAATGTTTGCAAACAAAATTCTAGAACATGCAGTTCTGAAGGATGGACTTTCAGCTATAGTGCTTGCTGTGGATGCTTGGTGATGTGTCTGAGTAAGCAGAAACTTGTTTTCACTACAAGGAGTGTTTTACTTGTCTCACAGCTAACATTAAAAATAAAGAAAGAGGGCCATTCTCTCAGTCTCTCCTTCAGCCAGTGTCAGCAGTCTTAAATTTTTTTACTTTGCTTCCTACTGGAATATATGAGTTTGGAATTTGTTTTCAAAAGAGCTGAGGATGAAGGCATTAATCTTTCACTGCCCAGAGCTGGTGTCTCAACTGATTAAAATACTTAAATCATGTATCTTAGCTAAGATAGAGCTCTTTACTCTCCCAGTAGATACATCAGTAGGCATGACTTCATTGCTCACATTAGAAGTAGTTTTATAACTTGAAGTAGTTTTCAGGATTTAATTTTTTCTCTAAAGCAAGGTATAAAGAAGCAATCTGCTTACACCATGTTGCTTTCTGTTTAGCAGACCTTGGTGACATTTGAGTGACCTGTTATAGCTGAGTGATACTGTTTCCCTTAGCAGTTAGAACTCTTCATTTTTAAAACTAGTATATGTTCTCACACTGTTCTGGACTGCATAAATGACACATAGTCCTGCATGAAAATTTGTCAAATGATTGCCATCACTGTTATTCATTGAGTAATAAGATCACATGAATTTAAATTTGTGGATAACACATTTATAATTTTTGGTGCTTTTGCTTCCATTTGTCACAGGAAAAGTGATCAAAATACCTGTTGTCTTATAAATGCCTTACGTAATGGAGGAACTTCGTTCTCTTTGAAGCAATTAATCTCTGAAGTGTTGCTAACTTTCAGTTTGAAAAAAGTTCAGAGACCTAATAAGAGCTTCAACCATGAGTTGTAAGGGTAAAAGCCATGGATGGCTTACACAGAGTCATTTTTTGGATGCTTATTTTTAAATATTTGTTCACCCACCACACTCTAAAACTTCCATGATGACTGCCAATATTCTGGGGGTTTTTGTTGCTTTAGAAGGGCATCTCTGCAGCTGGAAGTATAGGCTCTGCACTTTGTATAGCTCATGTTGGTACAACTTACCCTTTCTTGCTAGGACTTTCCCTGCACTACTTGCAGCGCTCATGTCAGAGAAGCTCTAGTCAGTATGCACATCTTTGTCTCTGCTTGTCTTCTGTAAACTGCCTGCATATGTCAAGGCATCCCCTGGGATGGAGAGCAAACAGCCCCTCAGAAGGGGTGGAGTTTGTACTCCTCTTGCTGGCTGTCAGGATGCCCCAGTGCTTTGTTCTCAATTCTGTTCACACTCAGTGACACTGGAAAAATGCCAAGCACCTCATCTTTATCCCCATCTGTTTCCATCTTGTTGCAAAGATTTCATGCCTTCTTGGTGATTTCTCACGGGCAGCTCCTCACAACACTGACTCCTCAGCACAGCCAACAAACGCCAACCTTCTCAACCAGCCAACCTACTCTTTTACAATACCCCTCCTAACTGGATCCAGCTGTGGCCTATTAAGGGCAGGCCTGTTCCTAATTCTTGATAATTAGCACAGCTGTAACTCCTTAGGGGTGAGATTACCTTCACCACTATCTCTATTCTACATTCTGTCTATCCACACCCATCTCCCAAGAAGACCACTGGTTACATTTCTTGGATATTTATATAACCAGTATTTTCTGGTCTGTTCTTACATGCCCAGCCTGGGGTGCTATGTCTTGTCTTTGCATCATGCCAGAACCAAAAGAGGAGGAAAGATAATGACAGCTCTGTAAAAACTGTGAAATTGCTGTAATATTTGTATTACTGGGAGCTATGCCAAGGATGGCCTTCTCCAAAGAGCTACAATTGGGCTGAAGTGAGGTTGTGGGGGAGGGTGAAAGGGACAGCAGACACCACTCAGGCCTGCCTTGGGGTTGTGGTGTGGATGGTGGGGCAGCCAGGGGATGCTCAGGTTGGAGTGAGGAGGGATCTGGTGAAGACAAGCATTAGCAGCTCTTCCTGTGCAGGTTCCAACAGGGGCACAGCCACGCCTGAAGAAATGATGGCCATCTAGACCTGGCCTTACTTCCCAGCCAGATGGCAGTAATGGTGCTTTAGTCCCTCCACCAAGGGCCACAAAGCTCTAGGTAGGAAGTGATCTTGTCAACAAACCCCACACATTTTGTTACCTAGAAGAGGCTGAGTTGTTTCTATCCTAGAGGCAAATTGAAATGATTTGGTCACTCCTGTGCCTTCATGAATATCAAACATCTACAGAAATAGACTTTACAAAGCACCATTTTCCCCCACAACACACTTTCCACGTGTTTTTGGGAGCTCGGTTAAACTTTAACAAAAATTATAATCTTGCACTCCTGTGTCATTTGTTTATATCACCTGTTAGGTTTAATCTTTAGAAATTACCTGGGAAGATGAATGGATAGTTTAATTTATTATGTCCTTTAAAATTTAGGCATTTCTGAATTTGGTAGTATTTTTCTAGATTCTTTTTAATCCTTATGTAAAACCTCCCACCTGCTGGAGCATAGAACATGTTGTCCATGTTCCATTCCAGCTCCTGTAGGCAGGATGTGACCAGAGAGGACGGGATGGATAGGGTTGGATTCCCAGCCACCTGCTGTCCTCATGAGCCACCCTCTTTCTCTACTGCTGACAGCAGCCCTGTAGAGTTCACAGCAACAGCATCTGCCTCGCCTTGTGGGGCATTTCCTCTGCTACCAGGAACATGGGGCCAAACAGTGTCCATTTTTTGTTACTCCTCCCTCAGTCCACATGAGCAACCATAATTTGCTCATCTGCACTGCTCTACAGCTTCACATTACATCCAAATTTGTTGTATAAATTGTATATACATTATATACACTACATACAGGTCCAGATCTGCATGGTTTTGACTGATGGTAGGTGAATTGTTTATAGCAGTGGGATTCCAGTGCTAGGCCTAAGCTGCATTTCTTATCACCCCTTATGCCTGTACTCCTCTACAACACTTGTCTCCACTTCTCAAGGTCACTGATATTGTATCAGTCATGTTTCCCTATTCTTCATCCTTACATTAAAACCATAAATACCTCATCCTACACAGAATGGCAGTTTGTTAGTACTAGCTGTAAAAACACTAGCTGTAACATCCAAGGATAAAAAAGTAAAACAAATCAGCAATTTACACCTGGCCAGTTAGAGAAACTGCTGTCACAAATAAATTGAAGAAGTCATAGCTTCAGGCAGGTCAGGAAAAGATTGGCCAGACCAGGGGTGGCAAACCTCAGCCCTGAGGTGCTGCACACTCAGTGCAAAACCTGTGGCCTGTTACTGGCAGTGGCAGTGGCATCCTGCAGGATGACAAGGCTACGTTCCCATTCCAATGCCCTACACATAGTCCTTTGCTCTTCCAGCCGTGTAGGTGCAGGCAAAGGGAACAAAGAGGAAATCAGAGTCTGGCTATGGTCAGCAGCTTCACAGAGAAACCCACTCAAGGCATCAGGGTTCCAGTGCACCTTGGTCTCAGTCCCGCACACACCAACATCCACAGAAATTTTCAGAATAGAATGCAGCTGTAACAGATCAAGCGTCAAGCAGTCTAGGATGTGTATGGCCCATTAAGAAATGAGTAAAGCACTTGTAACTTGCATTTACTTTAAAATGCTGGTCTAAATTGTGGTTTCATTGCAGTGCTTCCAGTCTTTGAGCAGAATGGACTTACTGATCTTACTGTCACTCAGCTAGTCTGAAGTACCTATTAATTTCACATTGCTCTCTTAATAGGATTCAAATCTGTTGCATCTCTTTCAGTTCAATAATTTCAATTGACAAGCACAACTAATTTGTTATTTGGTTTCTTTATTGCTTTTTCTGTACTGTTCTTGAAATGTTCAAGCTCCTTTTTAATCAGAATGAGCAGCTAATAATAATCGTATACTGTTAAAATTGGTATTTTTTATGATTTCACTTAAATGCAACAGTAAAGGCTACATTTCTCTGTCTTGACCAGTGCAGAATTTTGTTTTAATTCACAAGAGGCTGGTTAGAATCACAGCATTGAATCTCATCTTATAGAGAAAGTTTATAAAAAACACCTACATATATACTAAAATTGCCTGCTAGCAATATATAACAACATAATGCCATTCTAATGTTACAAGATGAAAGGACCTGGTTGTTGTAAATTGATATGGCTGCTATCAATGTACTGGGGGCTACCTCATCAAAGACTTGACTTTCCTATGACATTTAAGCTGAACTTTCCAGGAGATTTCAAGCATAACCATAGAATCACAGAATCATAAAATGATCCCACAGAATCAGATGGGATTTTCGAAGGCCATCTAGTCCAACCCCTGCACTGAGCAGGGACATCTTCAACTAGATTGATTTGCTTATAAATCACAGCCTGAATGAACAAAACTCTTAAAATAATAGTGGTTTATTTGCTTATTGGTAAATGTTCTGCTACTTGTTTCTGAAAACATGCCTGTGGGACCAGAGTC